GGAGGGGGGGAGAAAAAAGAGGAGAAAAACTACATTCTTTACAATGGGATAAGAGATTTTGCAGGCCATAGTTTTTTCAGGATGGTTCTGTTTTTCCAGGTGGAAAACAAGCTGTCATTTGAGTCAATAGAGTATGAAATATTTTTAAAACTAATCTACAGAAGTTTTGTTCTGATCAGAAACCCACAGCCTGAGACCTCCCCCTCTTTCTTTCAGTTTATTTAGATGGACTGAAGTCTAGAGATGAACTCTACAATCAAGTCTTTGAAGATATTCAGAACAAGCTTTTAAATTGCTTATAGGTAAATGCATCCCTGCTTCTGAGGGGGTGAAACGTGAGGGACTGACTGCTGGAAACAACCCGCTCCTACGCTTGGATAGTCACACTTTCCCTTCTTGCTTTTCAGGGTCTCGGAAGACCTGAAAGACCCATGTACAGAATGATGTAAATAGTACTGAAAAGTCGGAATGAGGGTTTATTTGTGTAAACTTCCTGTACTGTCCTTTGGAAAGTATCTTTTGTATATAATTGAAAAAAATGAAGATAACTTATTCACAGCTCTGTGATGGACAGCATTTTTTTTTTATTTTCTTATTTTATATTCCACTGGCTTAAAAATAAGTTGAAAATGCATTTTTATAATGGAACAAGTAGAGCTGCATTTGGAAAACAACTGACTCTTCCGCTTATGTGCTTCTGCAGATATTAAGTCTTTATGTAATGGCTTGTTTGTAATGTCATCTCTTAAATTCAGTAAAAACCAATTTAAAATCTCTTTCTGGGTTTTTTCTTTTTTTGGAGGTCCTGTTTTAATACATCAGTCGCCTTTTACTGTAGTAGAAAAAGGCACAAAACTCTGCTAAAACACAACAACAGCCCCTGCTGTTGATGTTTCATACCTGTGCAGCCTCAAACCTCCTTTCATGTGTTGCTGCTTCGGCTGCAGCCACAGTGCTGGCCTGGAAACCCGGCTCAGACACCCCAACAGGAGCGAGGTTCTGGGAGGTGAATGGCCCTTCAGATGTTTTTGAAGTGCTGGTATGAAACCAGTTTTGTGTCAGCCTCAGCTTTGTGGCCTTTCTCACTTCATGCTCAAAACAACTTAGCACATGAAGATACTATGGCCTGTTTTGCACAACATCGAGTGCTTCCCAGGGTGAGAAGTTTGGACGGAAGCCTCTCTGCCTTTTGCAATCCAACCAAGAAATGTTATCGGGGCCTAAATTCTCCAGCTAGCTGAACCTCAGGAGGTGGAGATGGCTGTATTTCTGAATTTAAAATCCAGAGGGTGCAAATGGGTGGGATTTCTCAGGGAATGAGAGCAGCAGCCTCATATTAAAATTGCGCTACCTTAGGAAACTTAGGAATCAGTACTGAAAACACCACCCTAATGTCAGTTTGAAACAAACAGCACCTTAGCATGTCCTCGCGGTACACGTGCAGCCCGTTTACCGATAGATTTTTGTTAACTCACTGGGCGAGTGCTCTGCGGAACCCATGCCGCAGAGCGGTCCTTCACGCCCTGCAGGATCTGCCTTTGGCAGCGTGCGGCAGAGGAGCTCGCGCCCAAACGGGTTACAGACGTTTGGCAAAATCCTGCATTAAAGAGCCCGATAGCGCACTACGACTCTAAAATGTAGGTACAGGGGGTTCTGCTTTTTCAAATGCTTCCAGTAAGTTTGTAGAAAGCCTGCAGATTTCTTTCTTACCCGTGTCCTCCCTTTCTAGCAAAACTATAAGTAAAATATCAGTGGCAAGAGTTTTACTGATTTTTCTGTAGATGGGTTTTTTCTCAGTATTTCAGCGAGATAAAAAAGGCCTCCTGCTCCAAGCAAGACAGCACAAAAGAAGTAATTCAGCAAACAATCAGAATATTGAAACAAACCGTAACATGGAGCATAACATGCTTGAGAAAGGAATGGGGATCTTGTTCCTGAAGCAACAGTGAGCGGTAGCCCTTTGTCTTCCTGCTTATCGCGTACTTACGTTGAGAACAACATTCCGCCCGCGTTTCCTCCTTTAGGAATAGCGCCATGCCTGTTCCTCGCCAGGCTTTTTGGCAGAACCTCGGCCCGTGAGCCAAGCCGTGACCTTCACCCGGGCAGCCCCGCAGGAAACACAAGTAGCACAATGGCGAGCGCTACGAAAAACCGCCAGCTCCCCTTCGCCCCGTCCGCGCGGGCGGCTCCGCGCTGCCACCGGCCACGCCTGGGGCCACGTCTGCACTTGCGTGTGCTGGGGAGAGGAGTAGGTCGCCGTGG